AATTTTTATTGAATGCAGTTTTTTGAAGTCATTATTTAGAATTGCTGCTCACAAATGTGATATAGGAGAGACAGGAATTAAGGATGAAATTCAGTTTTAGTGCTTATAGTCTTAAATCAGAGTGGTTTTTTTTTTTGTATTTCTCTTAATTAAAAGGAAAAATTAATTCCATAAATGTATAGGGTTTGATTTTAAACTAATGTGTTTATTCCCTAATGTAGATCTAGTTTGTGTGTGTGGGCATTAGCTGTTTCGAGTGGTTTTCCATATCTGTCAGTTTTTCCTTGGTTAAATGTCAAGGTGCAGTAGTTCATCTGCAACTTTTAATTGCTCTTTGTAGTTAATATAGGTTAGAACAGCTTTAAATATTTTTGTATATGTAGTTTTTTTTATCAGGGAAGTGCTACTACTGGTACAGGAATGATTTTCCTAAACAGAGAAGTCAGTATTTATTTACTGGTCTGAAATGTGAAAAACTGAATTTCATATTAAAGAATCTCACCCTCTCCTCAGTCTAATAGGGAACATCTTTAAAAATTAGGCAGCTGAGTTCTTTTTGCATTTTTACCTAAGTCAATAAATTTTGTATGTTTGCAATCCTTTTTTTTTGTTCTTGTTGTTTTATTTCTGTCCCCAGCTATCCCCAAAGGGATAACCTCCACCCCTTCTCCCTTCATTCAGACATGTTAAACTAATTTATATGAAACAAATCAGTTTAACATTTTAGAAAACATCTTTTTTTTTTTTTTTAAGTTTTGTCAATATGAGCAGGGAAGTTTGAAATGATGAATTGGTGTTCTGGTCAATTGACGGTGAACCTGGCAAAGCTTAGATTTCAATTGTGTTCTTAAAACATATTCATTCCTCTGTGTTCATTCATCTTAATGAAGAAATAAAAGTAGCTTTCAGAATGACATAAGGTATTTATTGTATTCATCTAGGTACTTAATTGAGTATATACCAATATTATTTCTGATCTGCAGCCTCAGAGCATCACATTCATAGTACACATGCATGATAGTAATGTATGCTATCTGAAATAACAGCTCTAAGCCCTGCAAAAATGAATTCTCAAAATAAAACTCTCTAGAACAGTCTACTCGATCACAGTTACTGTTTCCATAGAACTAGGTGCTTGTTTATAATTATTTGGCTGCTGGTTTTAATTTTCTCTTTATTTTGTTGTGGGTAATAGTAAGGTACCTGTCATTAAGGACCTGTTTTTCTTGAATTACTTAATTGGAAATCTTCAGCTAATGAAGTTTCTGCATTTGGAAGTCTGTGCTTTATAAAGAATATTGCTTACATTGATGGAAGGTGCAAAGGTGAAAAGATGTCAGCTTCAGAAAAGTTACTGTAAACTTGCTGTGAATTGCTAGCATGTATTTACAAACTTAAGTCTTAAAGATTACCACTGCAATCATCACTACCACCATTCAAACAATGCTGAGTTGTGCAAGTCATAATACATTACAGCAAATAAAACAATGGGAGATGCTTCTGGAGAGCTGTGAATTTCAAGTATTTTTTTATAGCTCTGTCTAATACACTTCTTTAACTGTTCCCCCCCAACATTTTGAGTTTTTTTCAAAATCAAGAACAATATCAGTGATTTTCTTGCATACTTAAATGCTTATGCTCTGAAAAGACTGAACAAGATTAATTATAGCGGAGAATATGGACGTGCAATCTGGTCCTCTAAAGCTCAGTCTTTGTAGTATAATAGATAATTGCTGAATTTGGTTTTAACTGTGGGTGATGTATAGTGTGCATATGTGCGTATAGGATATGTGCACCTCCATTACTTAGAAAAATGAAGAACCTTTATGTCAAGTGAATGCTTTTTTGGGGGGGGGGGGGGGGGGGGGGTTTTTTTTGTTTTTTTTTTTTTTTTGGTTTTGGGGTTTTTTTTTTTTTTTGACTGTTCATTTGTTCTTCAAGTATTTATCAAAGTTGTCTCTAGGTATCTCTTATGTGGTCTATGAGAGGTGTGTCAAGTCAAGACACTTTGTTCATCTTGGAACTGCTTATGAAGAATGTTTTTCTTGTCTCTGTACATCTACTGAAAGAACACTCAAAAAGGTGATGGAGGAAACTGGCTGAGTTTCCTAAATTAAGCTCATTAGATGGGGAAAGACAGATTTAGAACTGAAGAAACCTCATATACTATAACCAGTATGTAGGAGCCCTGACCTTTAACACCCCTGCAAAAATGCTGGGTTTGGGCCCACGGGTGCAGAGCATCTTTGGTCAGCTCTTCAACTTCCCTTGCTACTTTGGTCAGGATGTAGGAGCAGCACCCGCTACCGTGTTGCTGTATTGAGCTGTCATACCCACTTATCAGCCAGGATTCATGCACAACACTGTGTCTTTTAGTACTGACTTTTAGCAACTAATGTATCTTTCTTGCTGTGTCATGTTCCCCTGAGGTTGGGATTTGAACTAAAGCTAACTGGTAGCTCTGGATGAGTCTGGAATGTTATGATTGCTTTAATGTAACTTAAATGTGAGCTGCTGCTAAAGGGATATTACCCCTTTCCCCCCTTGCCCACATGTGATATATCCTCGTTTCCTCTTTTCTGCACATCCAGGTGCACAGGGAGACATATCACAGAACTGATTCACTTAAAATGAACATGATTTCTGGAACATGAAGTTAGGGATTGGGGAACCCATTCCTTTTAGTAGCAACCTGTGTAAAATGATCTTAAGACTTTAACCTGAGTTTCGTAAAGACTTGTATGTCATAGTCTGTGGCTGAAACTGGATCTGTCTTTTAGAACCAGGTAATGTGTACTGCCAAACTACTTCACTCTGGACAGAATTAGTGGGTATTACTACATATTTACCTCTGTGCATTAATCATATATACATGAAGTTTTAAATAATGTTTTTGTTAGAATTTGGTGATATTAAAATAGGATTTTAGAAGGGGAGAGGGGAAGAAGAAAATAATACAACATTGGAAGAGAACAATGAACCGATCCCATGAGCCCAACCCTTCCCATTGCTTGAGGAAAGAGAATGGGCAGAGGCAAGTGGTGCGTGAAATGTTTTGGTGTCTGCAGCACACTGCCAGCTTCTCTTTGCTGGAGGCCCTCTGGGAAAGGGTGTAACAAATGTGCAGTATAATTGATCTGCCCATGCATAGTAAATTGGTGAGCATTGTAGTATGGTCAACTATGTTATGCATTTAATCTGCCCATGCAAAATAAATCTGAGAAGCATTGTGCTACGGTCAACTGTGCTACACATTTACCATAATTCAGGTCACATGAGTGCCTTTCCTTGCTGCTGAAAGTAACTGCACAGTCCACGAGCTGGGTGTTTGGCTGCTGGCAGAATAGAAATTCTCTTCAGTTTTCATGACTTTAAAGAGCTTAATTTGTAAATTATTGCCATATACAAATGACAAGCAGATAATAATAATTTCTGGAGTCCATGGATCTTCTCAGCTTTGGGTCTTCCC